GTTGACAATGGTTAATGGAGTAAAAAAAGCAGAAACTATGAGAAATTAATGAAAACTGGAGCGAAAAGGTCTGCAAATGAGCTCACTGGGTAAGAAAATTTTAAATGTACAAGCTATTTGGTTACAGAAATGGCCACAGCAACTACTCTACTATCCAACCCCATCATAAAAGAGCTACACTCCATTTTAACATCCTAAATACTCAAAGAACATAACCATGGGCTATCCTTTCTGCTGAGGGCCCGTGTTCTTCAACTAACATGGAAGAATGTTCTAGAGTTGCTGGATAAAAATAAAATCCATCCCTTCTCCCCTCCCAGTTTCATGGGTCAGCACTGAAATCCAAACCAGACTCCAAATTCTGTAACAAAATCTTTCAGGGATGGTTAAATAGTGTTTAAAAATGAGCAATGAACGGTAGGTAGATGTCATCTTTAAAGGGATGTGATTCTACAGAGGTGGAATGCAATATACCTCTTCCTCAGTTTACCAGAGGAACTGTGAACACTTGGGCTTTTCTCTTAGTTGCAGTTTTACGTGTATCACAAATAAAATCCAGCCACAGCTGATGTTTAACGGTGTTAAAACAATTCCTCATTTCAGAAGCTGCCATAATTTGGTAATCAAAATAATTATGATTACAATAATATTAAAACCTCTTTGCAATGACTCTATGGAAGGAGGTCAAAGGGACACGGACCTATTAAGCAACTAATTTAAAGCTTGTGATTTGGGTTCACAAAGCAGCTCAGGACACATTTCCAGCTAGACACTACATCCTTACTTGTGTGGGTGTCCCTCAAAAGCAGAGCTTAGACATGAGCTGAAAAAAGCCACAGGAAATACTCAAACCAAAAATATCAAGTTTTTAATGTACATATTCCACAGAAAGCAGTTACAACGCTCTCCTACACAGCAATGGTCCCTTGTAATTTACCACAGCAACGTTTATTCGAATACAAACAATAATGGGAAAGCCAGGCAGGTTTTCCTCAGGACAGAAGTCTGGACCTCGTTAAGCTTCACAGTTTAATCGATGGCAATTGTCTTGCCACACCCCATGTTATTGTGACAAGCGCTTCTGATCAGAGGTATCCTCGTTGGGCAGTATAGAAGCATGGGAAGAAAAACCTCCCCTCGTGGCAACGATACATGTACGCTGTGTTTTATCAAGAGCTGTATGTCCTCGTGACAACTCCTCACAGTGCCTGATCATCCCCTAAAACCTGGGACTGCTCCTCCCAGCACTGCAGCTTCACTCGGCTTTTTGTCTAACGGAGATTCGTTCGGTCAAGACGGAGACGTAGAGTTTCAGCCAAGCGTACGTGACACCCAGAGCACAGTATACAGAGGTCAGCAACAGAGGGACAAAAGGAAAATGTCGTTTCCAGGGGGTCAGGGGAAATATAATTTCACAGAAGATTTCCAAAGGCACTAGTTGGACCAGGTAGATTGTTTCAAGCCAGTTAAGGAGAGGCCTCTCTCTCCTGTCAGAGGAATTAGAAAAAAAGAGATAGTGTTAAAATACATTATGTTAACTAAAAATAACTATTCTGTTTTTCATAGAATCATAGAATGGTTTGGATTGGAAGGGACCTTAAAGCTCATCCAGTTCCAACCCCCCTGCCAGCAGCAGGGACACCTTCCACTAGAACAGGTTGCTCAAAGCCTCATCCAGCCTGGCCTTCAACACTTCCAGGGAGGGGGCATCTACAACTTCCTTGGGCAACCTGTTCCAGTGTCTCACCACCCTCACAGTGAAGAATTTCTTCCTAATATCTCATCTAAACCTCCCCTCTTTCAGTTTAAACCCATTTCCCCTTGTTTTGTCATTAACTGCCCTTAGGAAAAGTCCTTCCCCAGCTTTCTTGTAGCCCCTTCAGGTACTGGGAGGCCGCTATAAGATCTCCCCGGAGCCTTCTCTTCTCCAGGCTGAACAGCCCCAACTCTTTCAGCCTGTCCTCATAGGAGAGCTGCTCCAGCCCTCGGATCATCCTGGTGGCCCTTTTTCAGCTATCACTGGTGACCAGTGCAAAGAATATCCGTCATTAGTTCACAGTAAGGCTTTAAATAACAATTTAAGAGTTTCAGTAGGAAAATAAGCCCCCTGTAATACCAGAGTACAGCTAATTTCCTTATCACGGGGCTTTTACACCAAGTTTCAACATGATCTGGAATCTAAGTAGAAATCTCAGCAGCTGTTCTGCTTCATCTCACATCATTCCAGTGAACAACTGAACAGAGACCTTCACACACACATTTGTTCCATAGAATTTGTACTGGAAATATCAGATTTATCTTAAGCATTGTCCCCTTTCCCCTAGTTTTCTGTAGGATGTACAAGCCAATTTCTCTTGCAAAGGGAACTGGTGGTGGGGTTTTGACTGCAGGTACTTTACACAGGAATTCATGTTCTTCTAGAAGGAACTTTTTTTGTTTGGGGTTTTTTTTTTTTGGTGTGGTTTTTTGTCTTTTTTTTTTTTTAAAGTTAGGAACTTGCAAAAGCTCCATCTCTAGACAGAAACTAAAGTCCTACAGAGGTTTTTTGGTTATAGAGTTTGAGACAGAACAATTGAATTGTGGAACATTAAGGGGGGAAAAAACAATCTGGCTGAAAGAGGATCACCTACAAAAAGCATGCAAGTGAGGTAGTGATACAGGTTTATAGCATTTCCCACAGATCCTTCTCTACAGCTTGGCTTTGCCATGGAAAGTTTGGGAAATAGGGAAGTGGAAACTTACAGGGGTTACAAGGACAAGCGCTATCTTTGGTCAAGTGGGTAAGAGATCAACAGCCTGTATAAATACACAGGATCATCTGGGCAATTCTGTGTTTCAACAACCAAATGTTTGCAGGAGATTTGTTGACAAATAACAGCTTTTAAATGTATGTTATTTATAACCTGCCCTTCTACACATCAAAATACTAAATGTTACTGCACAAAAACCCCAGGAGTATTTGTAGCTGCTAGTACAGACAAACAATCTCTTGATAACTCACTGTAGTAAGTGCTCCAATACTGAATTAAATCCTCACAGGCTACAACATGACACCTCTGTGCTTTACCAGTGCATCAAGCAGGTGGGGATTTGCAACCCATGGGGACTAACTGGGTAGCTGTCACAATTTAAACAGAACAAGGATGTGCTGTTATCATCCCAACTGAAGCCTTGCCTCCTGAGAAGAGAGCAGAGGCAGCAACACCTTTGAACGAGTAACACTTCAATTTGATGCTGCAGCATCAGTTTTCCGCGCTGTTTGCCCCATTGTGACAACGTTGTTCCTCGTGACAGAATAAATGGTTTTGTTCTTGGCTTTGGGAACAAGTTTCTTTAATTACCTGAATAGGGATTTCAATGAAGAGAAGCTGTAAACTGTAAACAGCAGCATAAGCAGTATTTTAATTGGAAGTTCTGAAATACAAGGAACATAACGTACTTTTAAAGTTAATTACAAAAGCATTTTGCCATCTAAATTGCAGTATCTCTAAATCCTACTAGTCACACTTGCCATTGCCCAACTTAATTTTTCTCCAAACAGAACTAAATGTTTTATGGCTTAGGATACCTAAAAATAAGCACAGACATTAACTAAAGCAAATGCCCAGCATTTGCAATACACTTAGTTAAATTATCTATAAACATACTGAAGACACTAATTAAAATTACAATATGATAGCAGTGCAAATAACATTTTCCTATTAAAAAAATAAATCAGAAATTACTGGGCTGAGAAGCTTGAAACATAAATGTGACAGTCAAATCAATGGCACCTAGTTTAAGGTTTAAGCAAAGCAAACAGACCCTTGATTAATTGAAAAGGGAGGAGGAGGAGGAAGGAAGGAACCCCTGTACTGGGCACTGGTGAGGCCGCAGCTCGAGTGCCGAGTTGAGTGTTGGGCCCCTGACCCCAAGAAGGACATGGAGGTGCTGGAGCGTGTCCAGAGAAGGGCAACGGAGCTGGGGAAGGGTCTGGAGCACAAGTGTGCTGAGTTCCCTTGTGGCTGAGGGAACTGGGGGTGTTGAGCCTGGAGAAAAGGAGGCTGAGGGGAGACCTTGTGGCTCTGTCCAAGTCCCTGCAAGGAGGGTGGAGAGAGGTGGGGGTGGGTCTGTTCAACCAAGGAACAAGAGACAAGACAAGAGGAAATGGCCTCAAGTTGCACCAGGGGCAGTTGAGATTGGATGTGAGGAAGAATTTCTTTGCTGAAAGGGTTCTGAGGCATTGGAAGGGGTTGCCCAGGGCAGTGGTGGAGTCCCCATCCCTGGAGGGATTGAAGAGTCGTGTAGACATAGTGCTGAGGGACATGGGTTAGTCAGGGACTTGTCAGTGTTGGGTTCATGATTGGGCTCGATGATCTTGAAGGGCTTTTCCAGTCTAGGCAATTTTGTGAGCAGCCTTTTGTCACAAAGACAAATCTGTCCCTAGGCAAACTGATTTAACTGATGCTGCTGCATGATTTTTTAGGTTAAGCACACTACTGATAGCATGAAGCAGCAGGCAGCTGGACAAGTCTGCTGGAAAACAGTCTACCAGGTCTGCGGTTTTGTCTTTACCATTTTGATCATGTGCTTATGTTAGACAGGGGGAAGTTTCTAGAATGGTGGCAGAATGAGGGATAACAAGTATTTGCTCTGACAAATTAATTTCAAATTAAGTTGAAGTCTCTACTTCAATTTAAAGCCTTTTGGCTCTTCCACAGCTGTTTAAACCAACATTTCTTTTCACTAGTTGGAGAGTTTGTATTTAAGGAAACAGGCTGACATACAGCCTCTTGCAACTTTCAACTTATTACATAAAATAATCCAAAATCATTACCTGCACATCATCTGGGAAAAAAAAACAAACAACAACAACAAAACCCCAAAGCAGTAAGATGAAAGCAGAGAAAGAAGGAAAACACTTTACCTGGTGGAGTGAACAACAATGGAAAAAGTGAGAAGTGCCCTGTGGTTGTCAGAATCAAGTAGATTCCAGCATCCTTCGCTCTCTGAATGGACAACAAGCTAAAAACAACAAGGATTTGTTAGACTTCTGGCTTTTAGCAAAGAAAATTTCAGCAAAACACTACACAATTCACAGGAGACTGAAGAACAGGTCAAGTAGAGAGTTTCATAGTACCCCAGTCCCTCCAAACATTCGACCTGTGCTGGAATCTCCCACTTCTAAACTATGAGGCCTCAGAGATGGAAATGTAGAAGAAAAATCAGCCAGGAAACCCTTCCCCAGAAAACCACAAACCCAAACATCAGAAATGCCTGGAGTTTTCTACAAACAGTCTTTTTCCTTTGCCTGCTGGCTGCCAGCATGGTCATCCCTACTTTTTCTCCTTCCCTTTTTTTTTTTTCCAGTGTTAATTCCTTCCCCTCCCACAATTCCCACTTTAAGAATTTAAACATCACTAAATCTCTGAACAAGAAAATACAGTTTGCAGCAATATTGGTCAGGCAGCTTATAAACTACAGTCTCACTTCTACCAAAAACAGGCATTAAGGCCTTTTGGTAGAAATTGTGTACTGCTCTTGTCAAGCACAGTGCAGAAAGCCCCATTCCTCAGCTGGCTCCTGAACAATCTCTACCTCACGTTTTAAATACGAACCACAGCACTTATCAAGCCTTGAACTGCCCAGCAGCTACAAGATTACAATATTTTTACATTTATCCACGACAGACTGGATCTGTCTAGGTTGCCCAAGGAAGCTGTGGCTGCTCCTCCCTGGAAGTGTTGAAGGCCAGGCTGGATGAGGCTTTGAGCAACCTGGTCTAGTGGAAGGTGTCCCTGCTGATGGCAGGGGGGTTGGAACTGGATGAGCTTTAAGGTCCCTTCCAACCCAAACCATTCTATGATTCTATGAACACCAGCCACTTCAGTTCTTACAATTATCTGTAAATTACTACAAAGCTTTGCTGTGTCCTACAGACCTGAAACGGAAATCAGCTACTCCCAAGAAAGCTCTCCTTAAAGCTTCTGTCAATGTAAACTATTGTAAAGTATGTCATGAAAAATACTGTTTAACACCACATTGTTTTCCTACATATGCTGTACCTGCAGCAACACATTTTTATTGCTAAGGCAACCACATTTTAATTGTTCCTGAAATTAATTTACCTGAAGTGCACTAAAACTTTACAGCTGAAGGCATTTTAGAAACACATTCATTTTCTGAAATGTACTGGAAACCAAGTGATCTTCTTTGAGGATTCCTCAACAAGTGGTTGCAAGTTTAATTTGGTCAACTACTACCTCTGAAATTCACTTACCTTAAAGGCAGAATAGCAAGCAGTATTGCTTTTTCATGCACGTGCCAGCCAAACATGAAGGAGCTCAACGCACAAAGAACAAGGCACTGCAGAAAGCCTCTGGGCCCTTGAGGTTTAAACCAAAGACAGAAAACAGAGGGCTAGAAACAACAGGCAAAAACAGGACTTCAGTGAAACGTCTGGCAACCCTGAACACAAGCCACTGTCCAATGAGATGATTTAATTTATATTTTAATGTTCATAAACACCACCACAGCCAGGTTGTGCTTGTGTGGCACAGGTGTTACATAGCACTGAAGGAACCATCTCTATCTGGATGTATGAGCAGAGTCTTACAGACTTCATCAATATAACAGGAGGGGAAAAGCAATGTGTAAGACAACAGCCAACTCCCTGTTATTTGTGATGTCTTTGGATCTAAGCCACTAAACTAATTTTATCAAAGTTACTACATAAAGGTGTCAAAACACAGATTTCCAGTTAAAGGCTTGTGGCTCATTAGAGTGAAGATGACTCTGTACCCAGGTAATTACTTATTGAACCTTCATTGCTTTCCTTGTCAGGTGAAGAACACGAGGCTCACCTGTAGCTCAAGCTGTGAGGAACACCGTAAGCTGCCCAAACAGTTCCATCAGTATCTCTACTCACATCCCAGTTCAACTACCTTCTACCACAGAAGGTGACTTCTAGCTCAGCATGCAGAGTGGTTTTGATCCAAGATTACTTTTAACAACCTTTTAATAATTCTAGAGCTGTCAGAGGCCACAATTTTAGCCATACTTGAAGAAAGTCATATTGTCTATCAAGATAGTAATTCCACATTTATCCTAATAATTGTTTTTTATTATTTTTGTTTTTAAAGAAAACTTATTTGTTGCCTTATAATTAAAATTCATGTGAAGTGCATCCTAATCAAATAAAACCTACTACGCACAAACTACATAAAATCTCCAAAAAATATTATTTATTCTTACCAATATAGATAGGAAAGTACAGATTAACGTTGCCAGTGGAGTCACAGAAGGGAGGACAGTATGCTGAAATTCTTGAACCAGCCCTCCTGTCATTGAGGCTTTAGGAATTTTTGTGGGATCAAGAAAGTTACACTTTAATCCTGAAAACAAAAGAGAAAAAACAAAACCCCACAAACTGATAAATATTAACAAAGAGGAGCAGCTGAACTAAGTACACAGCCAAGTTTTCTCTTTAAAAAAAGACAGCAGAGAGGGGAAGGCTGATTTCTGCCCTGCTGCTGGAAATTATCATGCACTGGATTAGGCAGACAATCAGGTGATTTCAGGCAATCTAAAAAAAATGTAATTTACTACCTCCACTTCAAATGGGGAAGGAAGACTAAAATCCAGAGAGCTCTATCTGCAAATAGGAACAAAACAGCAAGATGAGCATACAGTACCAAAAACTGTTAGTGCTTTATCCATGGCATTGTACAAAGCCCAGAAGTTTGGGGCCCAGTAAGCATGGCAGAGGCCTCTCTTGAAAGGAAAAAGCCGTGAAATGACTTGAGGCAGCTGGCCCTACAGGAAACACAGAAAGAAGAAAGAAATGGCCTCTTTAGATGAGACATGGTTTATATTTTTATAACAGTTTTCTAACAGTTCAGGGGAATGACAAGTGAAAAAGGAATTATTACCAACACTATGAAGGGACCCAATGAAAGAGCAGAAACAAGACAGACAATCAGTCCCAGAAGCGTTAGGTGAAGAAAGCTGAAACTTCTCCACTTCAGGGATCCATCTGAAAGAAGCAAACAGATTATGAAAGCAGTCACTGTGGTAAGTGGAGAGACAAAGCATTCCACACCGACAGTGAACTGCTAGCACCTATCTAGAAGAAACACAGAGCCTTTTATGTCAACACATTCACTTGCTTCCTTCAACAGTTATTTTGCATTTAATGACAAAACAAGGGGAAATGGGTTTAAGCTGAAAGAGGGGAGGTTTAGATTAGATATTAGGAAGAAGTTCTTCACTGTGAGGGTGGTGAGACACTGGAACAGGTTGCCCAAGGAAGCTATGGCGGCCCCCTCCCTGGAAGTGTTGAAGGCCAGGCTGGATGAGGCTTTGAGCAACCTGGTCTAGTGGAAGGTGTCCCTGCTGCTGGCAGGGGGGTTGGAACTAGATGATCTTTAAGGTTCCTTCCAATCCAAACCATTCTATGATTTTATGATAACCACAAAAATTCTTACAGCTTCAAATTGCCACCTGCAGTTTGTTGATGTTGTTTTTTCTTAATAAAGAACTCCCTAGAAACATGAATTTTAAATAAATAAATTTCTAAGATCTTTAAAGACCTCACCAACTCTGCTACCCAAGCAGAACTTTTGTTTGACCCACACCCATTTTGTTCTGCATGTCTTGTGCTTTCCCCAAGCCCCACTAATTAGCACAATCCCCAAAAGCAAGAGAGGAAAAACCCATCTTACCTGCATGATTTGCAGTAAAACAGTAAGATCTCAGCAAGTAAATGCCATATGCTGGAGCCACATACACGTAGATATGTTTAAAATGCAGAAGAACAGCAAAAAGAAAAGCGCCCTCCAAGTATCTTTTCTAAAAGAAAAACAAAACAAAACCCAAGGTTTTTTTCTCCTTTTTCTCCCTTTTTACATTTATTGGTCCTGTATAATGCTCCTAAAGTGACAGAACACTTACCACAGGCACAAAAAAACCCGAGTATTTATTTCAGATTACGAACTCAGTAGTGTTATGCACAACAGATATGGAGTAGAAAACTACATCATCACATGATACTTGGAAAATTGGGGTAGGCTTCACCTCCTTGCAGATTCAGAGGTACATTTTCTCAGGACCAGTGACTTGGAAGATAAGATGGCAAGAAATCATGCCACATTGCTGAGGTGTAACACAGAATTTAGCTTTCTCACTGGGAACTGCAAGGCTGCAGCATCAGCAAGCAATTACAGTGAGTTTCAAGTTCTCCTCTTCCCATCCAGCTAAACAAATAATTAGACATCCAGCTTGGCACTGCTCAACTTTGAGCTGCTCTCAATACCTTCAATATAAGCAGCTCAATGAAGCTAATCAATGCACCTAAAAAACATATGGTGACAAACAGAAACAAGCCATCCAAATTTACCTGACATAATCGAGCAACAGAAAGTAGCATCAGTCCAAACAGAAAGCCATTGTACTGGAAGTGAATATCTGAGCTTGAGTCAAGAAAGGAATAAAGCAAGCTTTGTGACTACTGTCAAGTTTTCTGGGGAAGACTCAAACTTAGAAACAATAAACTCAAATTAAAATGGAAATTAAATCGAGAAAGTAACCTTACTACCTACAAGGGTAGGTGGTAATAGAACAAGGGGTGATGGCTTGAAGGTGTCAGAGGGGAGATGGAGCTGAGATGTGAGGAAGAAATTGTTTGGTGTGAGGGGGGTGAGCCAGTGTCCCAGATTGGCCAGAGAAGCTGTGGCTGCTCCTCCCTGGAAGTGTTGAAGGCCAGGCTGGATGAGGCTTTGAGCAACCTGGTCTAGTGGAAGGGGAGTTGGAACTGCTGATGGGCTTTAAGGTCCCTTCCAACCCAAACCAGTCTGGGATTCTATGAAATTCACTCCACATAGACACAAAGTCATTACTTAACCCCACCCATAAGCACAGGCACAAAATCTGCTCATAGTGACACATTATCTGGATGAAACAAAGGATAACAATCTGACCACACATGTATCATGGAACTCATATGACAGTAACCAGAACAAATAAAAGGTTAATTCTCCACTTTTTGCATTTTAAAGTATTAGTTCCTGCCTCACATTGGTTAATGGACGGAGACAGCAGCCCTCACTTATCACCTACCACCTGTACACTGGCAACTTCGACTAGGACTGGGACAGACAAAACTAGTCCTTCCTATAGAAGAACGACTGTTGTTTTCTCTTTCTGTTCCCTCCTCAGCAAGATCAACAAACATTATGTCAAGAACAACTCATTAATTGGACTTTCCGGAGGTGTTTTTATGTCCTCTTTAAAAAACCTTGCTAATTCTCATGTAACATTAGCATGAAGTTATTCAACTAACCCCAGAAACACAGACAGCGGAGTTCCTTGCTGTGACAGTAACAACAGTATTCATGGGTTTCTACCACACACTGTAACAGATTAAAAAACCCACAAACACCCCACACCGGTTTGAAAGGATACGATCCACAATTAACAACCCAAAATTCCACAAGAGCAGGACAGCAAGAATAAATGCTGGTTTTTCCAGGACATCCTTTGCAGCTCGTTTCCCATTTACACACCTGCAGCACCTGAACAAGAGCAGAAGAAACAAGAAGTCTTAATTGAAACGGGCAAGAGGAAAGTTGTTGTTTTCAAGTGCTGAGAAGGGCACTTAACCTGAAGAAAGCTATTTTATTAGGATGATGGAAGGCTGTTCTTGCTAAATTCATCAAGAGATGACAGTGCCATGAATAAAATTTAGTAAAAAAGGGATTTTAAACATCAATAGCTGTAGTATGTTCCACATGCTAAGGCTTATGTTAAGTAACTTTGTCTCACATTCAATAATAACTGTAAAGTTGTCATAACCTGTTTGCTATCAACCTCTCATCATGAACTACGTATTGCTACATCTGGAGACAACGGACCAAGTTGTATTTAAGCTCCTCAGTGGGACATTAACCTCTTCCTGACTCCCTCCCCAATATTACAAGCTATTTCTGTGGGTTAAAAAACATCTTATTACTTCTCAGTGCAAAGCCATGCAGTCCATATTATTTTTGAAGGGAAGGTTAGATCAGATTAAAAAGCTGGGGATGATTTGTGTTGAAATATTATTAGTAGAGCTGTGTTAAGAAAGTCATCTCATTCAGGCATCTGAGCCAAAACAATAAAAGGGGGGGAAAAAAAGTCACAATGCAAAGCTAACCCTTTTCAAATAAAGAAAGTCAATAAAGGAGCTTAGGTAGTGCCCCGGTGCAACAGAGAACTTCCTGCCCTGATTTGGAGCAGACAGAATAAAATGAGGTCAGACTGCTAGAGGTTAAAGTAGGCAAGATAATTCTCAAAACATTTCTCCCCCTCTACTCTTCAGGTGCAAGATAAACAATTCTTGACAAAGTCAGGGCATGCTGAAAACATACAATCTTCATATTGTTAAATCAGACTTGGAATAATCAGTTTATCATCAAAAATACCAAAAACAATGGAGTGACTTAACACATTGGACAATACTGGGACTTTATAACAAGTTTCCTTTATGCTTCAGCTCTAGAAGAACAGAGTAATAAGAAAAGTGATAGGAAGAAACGGTTGGATGCACCCAGGCTGTGCTGCAACTTCTACAAAATGAGCCCAGCAGCAGGAAACAAAAAATATCTATAAAGTGTGAGACACCAGCTAATGTCTGAATGTGTATAAATCTGATCCCAGGTACAGCAACAGCAGCTCCAACAACAACAACAACAACGTTATCTTGTGTTTAGAAGCGTGTTCCAAATTTCTCCTTCAACAGGTTAAAGCAACTTTGATATTTCCATGTATTTCCATGCTTATTTGTATAAATAATTATTTGTTGTTACTGTAGAAAAAGGTCCATCTATTAATGAATATCCAGTGTGCCTAAAATTAGAACATTAAGACTTACTCACGAACTGCATAGATGAAAAGGATATCTGTAAAGATGACAGAAAATCTTTGGAAGAAGATGGTTGAGCGACTGGTGTAATTGAGATTTTCAATAACCAACATCTTGGGGTCAAAGTACTTGGCAACGTGCGAAAGCGCGTATTCAAACCAAGCAAAGAACGGTGGATAATCCAGAGTCCACTCTGAAGTGGCCTAAAGAGAAAATGAGATTAAATAATTTAATCCAATCCATACTGCTCACAGTCCTGCAGGTACAGTTCACCACAGCAAATCAGCCTCTATTTCATAGACTGGTTTGGGTTGGAAGGGA